CAATTGTTTCAGGGTTTATCGTGTATGTTGAAATCTACATCCACTTGGAATAAACAGAACTTACAACCCTGCATTCACTTTGCGTGTCGTCATTGTGACCCTGCTACAATAATACATTAAGAAATGGCTTAAAAATGACATGGTCAACCTGAATCAGAATTCTGTGAGTAGTTTTGAGAGACAACAGCTGGGATCGCTCTCGTAAAGTTCAAGTTTCACGAAGTATTTCAGAAAAGAAATCACAAAAAGTCAACAGATAAATCAAGGAACCTCAAGATTCAGGTGGAGCCTTAGTCTTGTTGCTCTTTTTGTACAACTGCATCAGGAAGGTAGTTTATTAAAAATAATACATTTGAATGTGCCAAGACACAAATCTTTTGAAGGTTGCTATCATTAAAAACAGAAATTCTTGGATTTGATTCTAACACCATCTCTGTCAAAACTGATTGAACAAGCTGTTACAAAGCAGCTTATGGATCATTTGTCAGTGAACAATATTTGGGATGACTTTCAGTCAACTTACCGACAGCACCTTCCACTGAGACACTTCTTCGCAGGGTTATTAATGACCTGAGATGCATTGTTGACTCTGGAGAAGTGTCAACAGTGGTGCTCTTGGATCATGGAGTCCTACATTTGACACAGTGGACCACTAGAAGCTCCTTGACACACTGGAACACCAGGTTGGAATCTGTAAATGCTTTAAGTCAGATTCAGCTCAGTCCACTTTCAAGTGAATTGAGAACAGCCTATAACTAAATGATGCTAAAAACTGAAGTCCTACTTGTTGGCAAACAGCAACACCTGAAAGGGATCATAGACGGTTAGAGCTGCTATTTGCCTTTCTAAGCTATGTTTTCTACACTTGTTCAAAGATCAAGGTGTTTGTATTAATTCAGATTTCTCCATTGAAGCTCAAGTAGACAAACTTTTATCAAAACATGCTCTTTGTAAAATACATTAGATCTACCACAGAAAGTGTACAAATCATTGTCAGGTGTCTTTTCTCGGCTTGATTAGACTACTGCAATGGGCTGCTTTTAAGTCTCAACAAAGCTCACCTGTACGAACTGCAAAAAGTTGAGAATACAGCTGCTGGCATCGTTTTTAAATAATGAAAACATGACAAGAACTCATTTTTAAAAGCATTCATTTATTGACTTCAGCAAATTTTACAGTTTTGTATCATGGCACTGTATTTCATTTTGAATTGGTATTCAAATATTTTCTAAATAAAGTAAAGGACCAAAAACTTCCACACAATATTTGAATCCAAAAAGTGAAAAAGATAATCAAAGTCAAAGTCTAAACTCAGCAAAAAATGGATTATTAGCACTGAATTTAATTAAAAGCTAAATATGTATTGTATTTCACTGTTAACAAAAATGAATGAGTAATAGCTATAAATAGCTTTTTAATACGGAATATACACAATCAATATGTATTTCAACTCCTTACAACAGTTCAGGGGAACAAACATACACGAAACGCCAAAAGAAACGTTACCCTCCTTTAATGACGGAGGTACCTATCTTCAGCTTTAGTTGTAATGCGTGGACGTCCACTTCTTGGACACTATACTGTGACCCCAGTCTGTCTGAAGCCCTGAATATATCTTATAACCTGATATGGTGGCATCCGAGGGCTTTGGCAACAGCATTGAATGTCTAATTCCCATCTGCACCATCCCAATGGCTTTTCTCTCTCTTCAGCCGTTAATCGTGACATATTTCTCCAGTTACCTTGTGTATCATATCATGTATTCTAGTTGTTCATAAAGGTAGGAGGGTAATGTTTCTTTTGGCGTTTAGTGTATATCAACATAAACTCTCATGGCTCTTCAGGCCAGGTGAACAAAAAATACTAATGTTTTTCCAATATACGTTACAAATTACATAATCATTAGTACAAGTTATTAGGTATGAGACAATGTCAAAATAAATCTGAAATCTCTGATCATTACTAGGTTAGGTCAGACTATTCACAAAAATGTTTACATATAGCAATAAAAGTAAAGAACGTTTCTAATGACATCAGTCAGTTCTGGTATGAAATTTACTAATTTACCAATTCAACCAAAGTAAATGAATACATCTTTATCATAAAACTGAACAATAAATTGAAAAGAATTAAAGAAAAATGAAGAATTTCTTCATCAAATGTTACTACTTCCACCCCTACTGAGTACCAGTAGTCAAACTCAGTTTTGACACTGGAATGTTGTGGCTATTATTTCACGTTACACATAAATGTACCGAACAAGGCCTAGTTTCTCAAGATGTGGCAAGAGATGAGGCAAGAAAGTTGGGGCATTTGTCAGTGTCAGAAAATAACATACATATAACAGGCATCTATAAAACATTTCTCATCGTACACCACACTGATACATGACTGGGGGTCGGACTTATGGCCAGCTGGGGATACAGTGGTCGGTACCCATGGGGTGTTGGTGGTGGTTCTCCTCCATGGCTACAGACCTTTAACTGCTCTTCCTCTGCTTGGTTGTATCCGTTTGAATAATTGGTAATAAATTAACAATATGTATCAATGTAGCAACATGCATCTCACCACAGTTTATAGTGAGGGCTTATCCATTTGGTTAAACATTGGGTAGAGTAGTCAAGTGACAACAAAACATCGATCACAGCTCCATCTACTGCATCCAATGTGTCTCACGCATAAATATCAGTTGCACAATAAATACAGACCAGTGGTATTCACTGTGACCTAGACAAATGGTGTGAGATATGATACAGGCAAATCGTCTTCACTGTAATGTAGACCATGGTATTCCCTGAAATAGAGACCAGTGGTATTCGCTGTAACACAGACAGATTGTATGCAATGTAACATTGACTATTATCAAGTATCTCCAACTGTAAGGATTAGCCCAAACAGCTATCACGGACATAAACTGAGTATTAGGATATGATGCTCTATCCTTGTTGAGAAACATCGGAAGGGAGACAGTCTGGAAGATCATCCTTCACCAGGAACGACTTTCAGCTGCTGCTAAGGAAAATATATACATATATATATTACAGTAAATATGTACATTTACTGATTTTTTTTCAGTGATTATGTATGTTTACTGATTCCATCAGGGATTATGTATATTTAGTTAAATTATCAGGAATTATACATATTTACTGAAATCTACACTGATTCATTTTACATATTTACTGAAATCAAGATCAGTAAATATGTATAATCATGGGTGGATACAGCTTTTTGAGAAACAATGGGTGCACCAGTTCATTTTCACCTGAGACCAAATGGATCACTGCCTGTGATTTCATAAACTTTCAGGACCAAAGGGGAGGTGCGCACCCCTGCATCCCCCCTCTGGATTCGCCTATGTTAATGAATCAGTGTAGATTATAAGTGAGTACTGACTTGCAATACTTGTATAGGAATGAACTGGGAAACACGCGTAAAGTCTCCTCATATATAGATAGCAGTCTGTTCCATCAACTGGAAAAAGGTTGTCAGCATGAAGGTTACACATCAACAAACACACATATAATAGTGCCATTGTGACTTGTGTTCCTTGTGTTCAGAGAATTTCTTATTAACCTACATTTAAACTAACAATTTTCATGATACACAATCTATGATGGCATTAAGACAAACCCAATGATGCCATGCTAACAAGCTAATATAACAAAAGAACTCTATAGGTTTTACCATCATATACCCGAATACACTACATTTTCAAGTCATTTTAACATAAATCCCAATAGGCAATAAAGATGGGTTTTACCATTCAAAAGGCAATATTATCAAGTCTTTATAACACAAGAACTCAAGAGGCTTCACTATTCTTCATCCTAAAAGACAATATTCACAAGTCATTATAACACAAGAACTAGAGAAGTTTCGCTATTCTTCATCCCAAAAGGCAATATTCACAAGTCATTAGAACACAAGTCATTATTTTTCCAAATAATCATGACAGAAGAACTAGAGAGGTTTCACTATTCTTCATCCCAAGAAGCAACATTTACAAGTACTTATAACACAAGAATAAGAGATGTACACATGTCATTACAACACAAGAACAAGAGAGGTTTTAACCATCCTACATCCCAAAAGGCAATATCCACAAGTGATTTATATTACAAGAATTAGAGATGTTTTACTATTCTTCATCCCTAAAGGCAATATTTACAAGTCATTAACGCACAAGAACTAGAACGGTTTTACCATTCTACATCCCAAAGGGCAATATCCACAAATCATCATAACACAAGAACTAGGGAGGTTTCACCATTCTACATCCCAAAAGGCAGTATTCACAAGTCATCATAACACAAGAATTAGAGATGTTTCGCTATTTTTCATGCCAAAAGGCAATATTCACAAGTCATTATAGCACAAGAACTAAAACGGTTTTACCATTCTTCAACTCAAAAGGCAATATTTACAAATCATCACAGAACACAAAAAGTTGAAAGATTTTACCATTCTTCACCCCAAGAGGCAAAACATTTTTTACAAATAATCATAACATAAGAACTAGAGAGGCTTCACTATTCTTCATCCCAAAGGGCAATATTTACAAGTGATCATACCACAAGAACTAGAGAGGTTTCACTATTCTTCATCGAAAAAGGCAGTATTCAGAAGTGATTTATAACACAAAACTAGAGAGATTTCACTATTCTTCATCCCTAAAGGCAATATTTACAAGTCATTATAACACAAGAACTAGGCACATTTTACCATCTTACATCCCATAGCCAATAATTACAAGACTTTATAACACAAGAACTAGGCAGATTTTACTATCCTACAGTCCAAAAGTCAATATTCACATGTCATTATAACACAAGAACTAGGCACATTTTACCATCTTACATCCCATAGCCAATAATTACAAGACTTTATAACACAAGAACTAGGCAGATTTTACTATCCTACAGTCAAAAGTCAATATTCACATGTCATTATAACACAAGAACTAAAGAGGTTTTAACACAAGAACTAGGCACATTTTACCATCTTACATCCCATAGGCAATAATTACAAGACTTTATAACACAAGAACTAGGCAGATTTTACTATCCTACAGTCCAAAAGTCAATATTCACATGTCATTATAACACAAGAACTAGAGAGATTTTAACCATCCTACATCCAAAAGGGCAATATTCACAAGTCATCATAACACAAGAATTAGAGATGTTTCGCTATTCTTATTCCCAAAAGGCAATATTCACAAGTCATTATAGCACAAGAACTAGAACGGTTTTACCATTCTTCACCCCAAAAGGCAATATTTACAAATCATCACAGAACACAAAAAGTTGAAAGATTTTACCATTCTTCACCCCAGGAGGCAAAACATTTTTTACAAATAATCATAACATAAGAACTACAGAGGCTTCACTATTCTTCATCCCAAAGGGCAATATTCACAAGTCATCATAACAAAAGAACTAGAGAGGTTTCACTATTCTTCATCCCAAAAGGCAATATCTACAAGTCATCATAACAAAAGGACTATAGAGGTTTCACTATTCTTCATCGAAAAAGGCAGTATTCAGAAGTGATTTATAACACAAGAACTAGGCACATTTTACTATCCTACAGTCCAAAAGTCAATATTCACATGTCATTATAACACAAGAACTAGGCAGATTTTACTATCTTACAGTCCAAAAGTCAATATTCACATGTCATTATAACACAAGAACTAGGCACATTTTACTATCCTACAGTCCAAAAGTCAATATTCACATGTCATTATAACACAAGAACTAGAGAGGTTTTAATCATCCTACATCCCAAAAGGCAATAAGTACAGGTCAGTATAACACAAGAACAAGGCACATTTTACTATCCTACAGTCCAAAAGTCAATATTCACATGTCATTATAACACAAGAACTAGGCAGATTTTACTATCCTACAGTCCAAAAGTCAATATTCACATGTCATTATAACACAAGAACTAGAGAGATTTTAACCATCCTACATCCCAAAGGGCAATATTCACAAGTCATCATAACACAAGAATTAGAGATGTTTCGCTATTCTTATTCCCAAAAGGCAATATTCACAAGTCATTATAGCACAAGAACTAGAACGGTTTTACCATTCTTCACCCCAAAAGGCAATATTTACAAATCATTACAGAACACAAAAAGTTGAACGATTTTACCATTCTTCACCCCAAGAGGCAAAACATTTTTTACAAATAATCATAACATAAGAACTACAGAGGCTTCACTATTCTTCATCCCAAAAGGCAATAATCACATGTCATCATAACACAAGAACAAGAGAGGTTTCACCATTCTACATTCCAAAGGGCAACATTCACATGTCATTATAACACAAGAACAAGAGAGGTTTTAACCATCTTACATCCCAAAGGGCAATATTTACAAGTCATCATAACATAAGAACAAGAGAGGTTTTAACCATTCTACATCCCAAAGGGAAATATCCACAAGTGATTTATATTACAAGAATTAGAGATGTTTTACTATTCTTCATCCCAAAAGGCAATATTTACAAGTCATTAAAGCACAAGAACTAGAACGGTTTTACCATTCTACATCCCAAAGGGCAATATTCACAAGTCATCAAAACACAAGAACTAGGGAGGTTTCACCATTTTACATCCCAAAGGGCAATATTCACAAGTGATTATATTACAAGAATTAGAGATGTTGCGCTATTCTTCATCCCAAAGAGGCAATATTCACAAGTCATTATAGCACAAGAACTAGAACGGTTTTACCGTGGTACATCCAAAAGGGCAATATCCAAAAGTCATCACAAAACACAAAAAGTTGAACGATTTTACCATTCTTCACCCCAAGAGGCAAAACATTTCTAACAAATAATCATAACATAAGAACTAGAGAGGTTTCACCATTCTACATCCCAAAGGGCAATATTCACAAGTCATCATAACACAAGAATTAGAGATGTTTCGCTATTCTTCATCCCAAAAGGCAATATTCACAAGTCATTAAAGCACAAGAACTAGCACGGTTTTACCATTCTTCACCCCATAGGGCAATTTTCACAAGTCATCATAACACAAGAATTAGAGATGCTTCGCTATTCTTCATCCCAAAAGGCAATATTCACAAGTCATTAATTCACAAGTCATTAAAGCACAAGAACTAGAACGGTTTTACTATTCTTCACCCCAAAAGGCAATATTCAAATGTCATCATAACACAAGAACTAGAGAGGTTTCACCATTCTACATTCCAAAGGGCAACATTCACATGTCATTATAACACAAGAACAAGAGAGGTTTTAACCATCTTACATTCCAAAGGGCAACATTCACATGTCATTATAACACAAGAACAAGAGAGGTTTTAACCATTCTACATCCCAAAGGGCAATATCCACAAGTGATTTATATTACAAGAATTAGAGATGTTTTACTATTCTTCATCCCAAAAGGCAATATTTACAAGTCATTAAAGCACAAGAACTAGAACGGTTTTACCATTCCACATCCCAAAGGGCAATATTCACAAGTCATCAAAACACAAGAACTAGAGAGGTTTCATCATTTTACATCCCAAAGGGCAATATTCACAAGTGATTATATTACAAGAATTAGAGATGTTGCGCTATTCTTCATCCCAAAGAGGCAATATTTACAAGTCATTATAGCACAAGAACTAGAACGGTTTTACCGTGGTACATCCAAAAGGGCTATATCCAAAAGTCATCACAAAACACAAAAAGTTGAACGATTTTACCATACTTCACCCCAAGAGGCAAAACATTTCTAACAAATAATCATAACATAAGAACTATAGAGGTTTCACCATTCTACATCCCAAAGGGCAATATTCACAAGTCATCATAACACAAGAATTAGAGATGTTTCCCTATTCTTCATCCCAAAAGGCAATATTCACAAGTCATTAAAGCACAAGAACTAGAACGGTTTTACCGTGGTACATCCAAAAGGGCAATATCCAAAAGTCATCACAAAACACAAAAAGTTGAACGATTTTACCATACTTCACCCCAAGAGGCAAAACATTTCTAACAAATAATCATAACATAAGAACTAGAGAGGTTTCACCATTCTACATCCCAAAGGGCAATATTCACAAGTCATCATAACACAAGAATTAGAGATGTTTCCCTATTCTTCATCCCAAAAGGCAATATTCACAAGTCATTAAAGCACAAGAACTAGAACGGTTTTACCATTCTTCACCCCAAATGGCAATATTCACAAGTCATCATAACACAAGAATTAGAGATGCTTCACTATTCTTCATCCCAAAAGGCAATATTCACAAGTCATTAATTCACAAGTCATTAAAGCACAAGAACTAGAACGATTTTACTATTCTTCACCCCAAAAGGCAATATTCAAATGTCATCATAACACAAGAACTAGGGAGGTTTCACCATTCTACATCCCAAAGGGCAATATTCACAAGTCATCATAACACAAGAATTAGAGATGTTTCGCTATTCTTCATCCCAAAAGGCAATATTCACAAGTCATTAAAGCACAAGAACTAGAACGGTTTTACCATTCTTCACCCCAAAAGGCAATATTCACAAGTCATCATAACACAAGAATTAGAGATGCTTCACTATTCTTCATCCCAAAAGGCAATATTCACAAGTCATTAATTCACAAGTCATTAAAGCACAAGAACTAGAACGGTTTTACTATTCTTCACCCCAAAAGGCAATATTCAAATGTCATCATAACACAAGAACTAGAGAGGTTTCACCATTCTACATTCCAAGGGGCAACATTCACATGTCATTATAACACAAGAACAAGAGAGGTTTTAACCATCTTATATTCCAAAGGGCAACATTCACATGTCATTATAACACAAGAACAAGAGAGGTTTTAACCATTCTACATCCCAAAGGGCAATATCCACAAGTGATTTATATTACAAGAATTAGAGATGTTTTACTATTCTTCATCCCAAAAGGCAATATTTACAAGTCATTAAAGCACAAGAACTAGAACGGTTTTACCATTCTACATCCCAAAGGGCAATATTCACAAGTCATCAAAACACAAGAACTAGGGAGGTTTCACCATTTTACATCCCAAAGGGCAATATTCACAAGTGATTATATTACAAGAATTAGAGATGTTGCGCTATTCTTCATCCCAAAGAGGCAATATTTACAAGTCATTATAGCACAAGAACTAGAACGGTTTTACCGTGGTACATCCAAAAGGGCAATATCCAAAAGTCATCACAAAACACAAAAAGTTGAACGATTTTACCATACTTCACCCCAAGAGGCAAAACATTTCTAACAAATAATCATAACATAAGAACTATAGAGGTTTCACCATTCTACATCCCAAAGGGCAATATTCACAAGTCATCATAACACAAGAATTAGAGATGTTTCCCTATTCTTCATCCCAAAAGGCAATATTCACAAGTCATTAAAGCACAAGAACTAGAACGGTTTTACCATTCTTCACCCCAAAAGGCAATATTTACAAGTCATCATAACACAAGAATTAGAGATGTTTCGCTATTCTTTATCCCAAAAGGCAATATTCACAAGTCATTAAAGCACAAGAACTAGAACGGTTTTACCATTCTTCACCCCAAAAGGCAATATTTACAAGTCATCATAACAAAAGGACTAGAGAGGTTTCACCATTCTACATTCCAAAGTGCAACATTCACATGTCATTATAACACAAGAACAAGAGAGGTTTTAACCATCCTACATCCCAAAAGGCAATATTCACATGTCATTATAACACAAGAACAAGAGAGGTTTTAACCATCTTACATCCCAAAAGGCAATATTCACATGTCATTATAACACAAGAACAAGAGAGGTTTTAACCATCCTACATCCCAAAAGGCAATATTCACATGTCATTATAACACAAGAACAAGAGAGGTTTTAACCATCCTACATCCCAAAAGGCAATATTCACATGTCATTATAACACAAGAACAAGAGAGGTTTTAACCATCCTACATCCCAAAAGGCAATATTCACATGTCATTATAACACAAGAACAAGAGAAGTTTAACCATCTTACATCCCAAAAGTCAATATTCACATGTCACTATAACACAAGAACAAGAGAGGTTTTAACCATCTTACATCCCAAAAGTCAATATTTACAAGTCATCATAACATAATAACAAGAGAGGTTTTAAGCATCTTACATCCCAAAAGTCAATATTTACAAGTTATCATAACATAAGAACAAGAGAGGTTTTTACCATCTTACATCCCAAAAGTCAATATTTACAAGTTATCATAACATAAGAACAAGAGAGGTTTTAACCATCCTACATCCCAAAAGGCAGTATTCACAAGTGATTATAACACAAGAACAAGAGAGGTTTTAACCATCTTACATCCCAAAGGGCAATATTCACATGTCATTATAACACAAGAACAAGAGAGGTTTTAACCATCCTACATCCCAAAAGGCAATATCCACAAGCCATAACACTAGAAGTAGAGAGGTTTCACTGTTCATCATTCCAAAGGGCAATATTTACAAGTCATAACAAAACACAAAGAAGTAGAAAGATTTTACCATTCTTCACCCAAAAAGGCAAAAGAAAATACTCACAAGTAATCATAACATAAGAACAAGAGACATTTCTCTTTTCTTCATCCCAAAAGGCAATATTCACAAGTCATCATTACATAAGAACTAGAGAGGTTTCAACATTCTACAGGAAAACAACAATATATTTTTGGTGAGTTCCCCCATGTACACACCCAGTGCAGAAGTGTACATACGAAGCATTCCCATCTATATTTCAGTAATGTGATATATGACATTGTCTATATAACAACTATTTATGCTAAAGTGCTTTATTATGCAAACATATTTTTCCGGCTAACTGATTGGTCTAGAGGCAATCACGTGACCGTCGACAGAAAAGCATATTGACTCCAACCCGAGTCCGACCAAAACTCATATTGACCTGAGTTACTATGACGTCATTCTATTGTTTACATGTCAGAGTATTGTTGACATAACGTTATTGGTTTGTAGTGAAAATAATTACTTTTCTTGACTAAATGGACAAGTTTTGAATTTTAGAAGCTTTTTCTCGGTAATTACATACTAAAACAATTATAGACTGGCGAATTCGGTCAATACCTGTTTTTATGGACCCGCGAAAAGCAATATTGACGGGTCCATAAAAACAGGTATTGACCTCATGACCAGTCTATAATTGTATAATATTGTCAAGAGTACTGTGTTATTCTCAAGTAAACTACTGCATGTTCACACTTCCATAAAACAAGAACAATCCACTCTACATAATTACTGTCTCAAGTTTGAATAATAGATAAAATAGAATCAATACGTTCTAATTTACATCTGAACAAAGAATGTACAAACAGGAATGATAATAATATAAAAAACAAATACCAAGACTAAGTATCTCTTCTGGGAAATGAGTAAAAACAACCATATCTTCGCAATCTTCAAAAACAAAAAATGATCAAATTTTTTTTGTAAATGGTTGAGGGAGAGTTGATTTGTCATATAGCAATATGTCCAAAACATCTAACTACAGTGTGTGAATGACAATGCCATGACAGTTGGCTGTATGAAGATTGGCTGCAAGGTGTCCTGCCGCCTGAAGGAAACTGCCACCATGGACATGGTCCACGCTGTTCTGCTGTCTATGAGTCCTGGACCATAAGAGTGTGAACAGATTCTACCTGTGAACAAAAAGCACAACAAGTGTCTCAGTGCTATTACATACATCCTGTGTCTCAGTGAGAGGGTGCTGTAACATACATCCAGTGTCTCAGTGAGAGGGTGCTGTAACATACAAGCAGTGTCTCAGTGAGAGGGTGCTGTAACATACAACCTGTGTCTCAGTGAGAGGGTGCTGTAACATACAACCTGTGTCTCAGTGACAGGGTGCTGTAACATACATCCAGTGTCTCAGTGAGAGGGTGCCATAACATAGAACCAGTGTCTCAGTGAGAGGGTGCTGTAACATACAACCTGTGTCTCAGTGAGAAGGTGCTGTAACATACAACCTGTGTCTCAGTGAGAGGGTGCTGTAACATACAACCTGTGTCTCAGTGAGAAGGTGCCATAACATACAACCAGTGCCTCAGTGAGAGGGTGCTGTAACATACAACCTGTGTCTCAGTGAGAGGGTGCTGTAACATACAAGCAGTGTCTCAGTGAGAGGGTGCTGTAACATACAACCTGTGTCTCAGTGAGAGGGTGCTGTAACATACAACCTGTGTCTCAGTGAGAGGGTGCCATAACATACAACCAGTGTCTCAGTGAGAGGGTGCTGTAACATACAACCAGTGTCTCAGTGAGAGGGTGCCATAACATACAACCAGTGTCTCAGTGAGAGGGTGCTGTAACATACAACCTGTGTCTCAGTGAGAGGGTGCCATAACATACAACCTGTGTCTCAGTGAGAGGGTGCTGTAACATACAACCTGTGTCTCAGTGAGAGGGTGCCATAACATACAACCAGTGTCTCAGTGAGAGGGTGCCATAACATACAACCAGTGTCTCAGTGAGAGGTTTGAGCTGGTGACCATACCTACTTTCATTGTTGATACTCATGTGTTGTGTATCCTCTCAGATTGCATGTGAAAGGTCATTTCAGTTTAGTTTGTTCTACAGAGGTAAATATGCTCTGGTTACAAGTTTGATACATGGATATTAATTTTCAAAGCATATACAATAACATGTAATAAAGTGGATGTGGCTTGACTTATGCTCAAGGGTACATCACTTGTACTATAAATAGACAACCTTACACCTGACCTTGCATGTCTCAGATCATGAAGGTAGAACAATTTGTATAATACATGGTCATCAACGACATCTGTGTGTGTATTTGTGGGTCTTCCAGGTTATAAAACTGACAGAGAGATGACACTGAGATTTACAGCTTCAGGGCTCACCTTAGTGTAGAGACTGTTCCACCAGACACACAATCTTGCCAGCCAGATCACATGCTAGTGAGGCATCAGCCTGTGTGTATACATCAGCTGGGATCCTGGGGTAGGCAAGTCTGTCCGGGTAGCGCAGGCGGTTGAAGTCCTGTATAACATTCTGTAGTTGGGAGGCCAGGGATGTCAGGGAAGGGTTACCTAAACCACTAGATAGGCTGGATAAATCATGGGTTCTCATCACATCAGCTTGCCTGGAGTCTTTATTGTATAGCATGGACTTGATGGCCTTTTCAGCAGCCTGCAGATGAACAAAGTGTAAATGGGTTTGAAAGTGTTATGCGAAAGATTATCATGCAATGATATCACAAAATTCACCATATTCAAAACTGTTTAATCATTAGGGGGAAGTGTACACGATAAAACACATTTTCTCTTGTGTGAAACAAAACAGAGTTTTTGTACCAGTTAATATCAATGCCTGAAAATATTCACTCCATTTTCTCACATTGAAAGTAGAAAGCTCAATACAAGTGCTGAAATCTTATACCAAACTATAA